CACCTCTACACCTGACTCATTCATATTTTCTTCAGCCTTTTTGTGTCGATATTCATGGTGGATATCGGTCTGTCGCATTCCTGTGATGTCTCTGTCTGGCTTTAGTAGCAGAGTAAACACTCTTCACCAAATGAGTTGGGAAATGCCCCCCAACCCCCCACCCTCTTCCACATTCTGGAAGCGTCTGCAAAGGATTGGTACTATTTCTTCTTTAAATGTTGGGTAGAATTCACCCCCAAAGTCACCTGGGCCTGACTTCTCAATTGTGGGAAGATGTTTTTCATTTCCTCTCTCCATTTCATAGGAATGCTCTAAATCTGTCCAGGTTTTCATCCTGTGCATCCATTGTAACCTTTCTCTGCCCCAGTGTTTTCTTGCCTGCTGGTACCTTTCATTCAGTGTCCGGTTTAGAATTTGACATGTTGGATGTCTGTGGACACCATGAGATTCCAGCTCCTAGCCTGTAGCTTTGGATAGCCTGATGTCTGAGACATCCCTTCCAGAACCCCTCCTACAACCCATCTATGGGTATAGAGACCTTTGTCTTGGAGGCGGGGATGTGGTGCCATTTTCCACACGATCTCCTGATTACTTTGATTTGCTCTGTAGTAATGAATTCCTCCACAAGCCTTCCATGTCTGCATGGAGGAGTTCCAACGGGGTTCCTTCTCACTCCTCTCATACCCTGAACAAACCGGCCCACACAAGGGATCAATTGTCTGCTCCCTAGCCCATCCGTTGGTGCATGCTAGGGTTTGAACCTTTTTGTCCCCTCTGAAACTGGTGTACAAACTCAAACCCCAATGTGGTAGTGCCGGGGTTGGGTGGGGTGGGCTGTGGCCTAACGGAAAGTATTTATGTCCCCAGGGATCTGCCCTCATGAATGCATTAATTCTGTTAAAAGGGGGCTTGTGTGAATGGGTTTGGCTCCACTGCCATGAAAGGAACGATGTCCATCTCCGCTTGCCCTTCCACCTTCTGCCATGTGAGAAGAAGGTCCTCACCAGAAACCAGACACAGGTACTTTGATCTTGGACTTCCAGGCATCCAGAACCATGAGAAATAACTTTCTCTTCTGTATTAATTGCCCAGTCTGTAGTATCTTGTTACAAAAGAGACTGAGACAGTGCCCAATCTTCCTCCCTGATTCAATGCTCAGTGCCTAAGGGCAAGGACCAACGGCACCATTCTTCCTCATTTCCCCACCACAACCGTCAGCATGGCCTAGACTAGGGGGAGTTAAAGTGTAGAAATTGAACCCCGGGGGATTGGTTTAACGCTTGGTCGTCACTGGCATCACAGAACTGGCGTGGCCGATGAACTGAGGATGGTGAGGCGAGGTCTGAGGAGCGTGACTCAGTGTGTGGGGAGTCAGACAAAGGTCTGCCTCTCTGGCCACCACTTTACAACCTCCACAGACTCTCAGCGACAAATAAGCACCCCTGCCCTGTTGCGCTGTGCTGAGGATTCAACAACACATCTTACCAAGACTTGGTCCTTGAAGGCATGAGGTGTCAGTAAGGTGACTTTGCAATAGCCATTACAAAGGGGGAACAGGTTCAGGTTGCCAGCTAGAATCCACCTTGCCTAGGCTTGTGTGCCAGTTCCGCCTCTTGCCTCCCAGGGGACCCTGGCCAAGCTCTCTACTGTGGGACTGACATTGTTCCTAAGTGATGGGTCTGTGGTGGGGATAAAAAGAGCTAACATATAGAAACACGCAGGGCATTGTCTGACACCTGGTAAAAGAACCGGCCAACGTGCATCACCCTGTCATCCCTTCTGAACACTGCAGAATCTCCATTCTAGGATTTAGGCCTTTGAGTTTCAGGAAAGAATTCGCCCTTCTTTATTTACCCTCTCCCTTGGAACTGGGAGACGATCCTGATCGGGTCAGTTTAGCTCTCAAGTTCTCTGAGGGGATCCCAAGTTGAAAATCTAAGAAACTTACCTGCTCTCGAGCCACTTGTGTTGGCAGGAGACGTGCAGACTTCTGCAGCAATGTAGTGCTGGGGCCTCCCTAAAAACAGACTGACACAAAGCAGAATTTGTTTTCGGCTCAGAGGAATCACATGGTCCGTGGCTGGGTACACATCACGGGCTTCTGTAGGGGAAAATAGGTAGATTTAATCACTCAGGCTTCCTGAAATCAAAAGACAACGTGTCTAAATCCAGATACAGTTTTGAAATAACTCAGTGATGCTCTGGTTCTCAGGAAGCAGGCGGGAAACTGCTGTACACTTTCACCAAACCAGTGCACCGGTCGACAAGGAATGGCCCTGGACCCCTCAGCCAGGGCATCAGCGGCAACCAGCATGGGCTCCTACTGGGATCTGGGGACCCTGCTTCCAACCTCGCTGCCTGACTGGTCTGAATGCTGGTCCCACTACAGCACCTGAAACAGTGATCGGACAGGGTTCTTGAGCCCCCTTCTCCCCCGTTCTGAATTTCCACAGTGCAGAGCTCCTCTTGACACGCTCTGGTCTGCTGGTCGGGGATGTCAAGGTCCAACAAGAAACAAACCACTATCGATCAACAAACCTGAATTCTAAAGTTACTTTCCTTTCATACACGTGTTTATTTGGTATTGACGATGAGGTACCCCATCAGAAAATCCTGCACGGGGGAGTACTACTCAATGGTTAAGGAGCAGGGGAACATTTACTTACAGTTAGCTTATCATAGTCATAATAGTTTACACAGACAGTACAATAGTGAGCCACCAAGTTCCAATGCCACACCCCTTTCCCACACTTTGTTTAGCTGCAGATTCTTGAACCTGGATCTCAGTGTTGCGCACCGCCATTTCAAACAGCCCTAGCACTGCTCCCAGGAGGCAGTCGATAAAACGGCACAAAAGCACAAGGACATGAACAAGGCATTCACACTACATAGACATCTTATATCTTACTGACAACAAGGTAGGGAGCAAAGACGCAGATCCAGGCTGGGAAAGCGACAACATGCGGCATGGGAGCCATATGGGATGAGGTGAGGTCCACTGGTGTGCAGTCTCCCTTGCCCCAGGGTGCCTCACAGCGCTTCACAGATGACAGGCAGGAAGAGGAGGACCTCCCTGGGAGTGGGTCAAATCTCACGCCAATAGGAATCCATCCAGTCACACAACTAGTCTTGGGACTCCTCCGACGACAGCTGACTGTTTGGTCCCCAGAAGGAGCCCACCCCCAGGAGCTGGCAACACAGCACTGTCTGCATCCCTTCAGGTCTCCGCCCCATGAAAGGGGGCAGGGGGCTCTCAGTTTTCTTCCAACCACTGCTTGAGCAGCCTCTGGAACATTCTCTTGCTTTCCTGCTGCTTCTCCAGTTGGCACTTCTCCTCTTGCTCCTGCTGCTGCTGCTGTGCCCCTTCTGGCAGAAGGCCAGACCGGTTGGTGCCCAGGCTGAGGGTCAAGCCGCTGAGGCCCTGCACTAGTGTTTCCCAGGAGGAAGGGTTGGGGGCCCCATTCCTCTCGCCAGAGAGCCCAGAAATACTCGGCCTGTGGCCCTGGCAGTAGCGACATTCACATCGGAACCGATTCTGAGCTCTGTCGCCTGTGGGGTAGACCCTGGTCTCCCTTTCCACTGGGTAAGGTGCCATGTGATCGCGGTGCCTGCGTCTCAGGTGACCCAGGAATGCTTTCTTCCTCTGAGGGAAGCCCAGCCGCTCCCAGCGCCGCTCCCGCAGGGTCTTCTCCTCCCTGTACTGCTGCTGGAACAGCCCCTCTGGCAGAGGGGCAGGGAGGCCAGGACCAGGACTGGGGTTCAGGCCGCTGAGGCCCATCATTAGCTGTTCCGAGGAAGAAGGCTGAGAGGCTGCCGTGCCCTCCTGCGAGTTCTCCCCAGCGGTCACCTGGGAAGATCCGGAAACCAACGCTGGGTTCCATTTCTGGAGTGGATCCATGGGGGTCCAGTTAGAGCTAGAAGCTCCGCCCAGCCCGGGGGTCTAGCCGGGAAGGTGAAGCTGGAGGTTTTCGAATAGCTAAGAGGTGGCGAGGGAAGCGTGTGGCCAGAACACACCAGACTGCAACAAAGGGTGACAAGAGAAGAAAGAAAACCCATGATTATTCATCTTACTCCACCTTTCTGTCCCTCCGCTTCCTAGGTGTAAAATGGGGCTGGTGATGAGACCCACCTTCTAGGCTTCCTCGGAGGATGACATGAGATAACACATGTCCAGAGCTTAGAATGCTGATGGCATAGCATAAAGGTTTGAGAAATGGCACCACTGATGGCATCCATGAGGCATGTGATGTAACATGGAGAAACATATTGAACGAGGTTAACTCCGTGCAGATTCTTTGTAACCCAGGCTCAGGAACGATGAT